CTACATTTATAAAAGGTGAATTATACTTTATTCTTTCTTCCAAACTTTGGTGAAATCTATAAATATCAGTGTTATCTCTGCTCTTGATGATAATGATAATGATGTGAGAATGAACAAGGTGACCTTAAATAAATTTTATTAAAAAAAACTAGCTAAGTTATTTCTTATTCTCACAAACTAGATCAGAGATAACACTGTTATCTTTATAGATTTCATCAAAGTTTGAAAGAAATAACAAAGAATAGTTCACCTTTCGTAAATTTAGACAGATTTTTTGTAAACTGACAACATCTTAAGATATTGGTTTTATTCACCTTAAAGAAAAATAGTTGTCATTCATTAGTATTGTTTATTAAGTGTGTATTATCCACATCAGCCCTTCCTCCTAAATTCTCTCTCTGCTAGTTTTTTCTCGTTTGTTCTCTCCCACATTATGTTGTTACTGATAGTGTCTGGCCAACGAATCCAAATTATTTTGTGTAGACAGCTGTTGATAAACACTTGTATCTTCTGGATGCTGGTGAGATAATGTGTGTAGACATTTCTCAAATCTTTCATATATTCATACAATACCTCTCAAGGTATTCAAATAGCTCTTCAAATACAATTATCACTAATGCTTGAAATCGGAAATCTCCAAGACATCTCGGTAATTGTTCGGTTGTTAAGCAGAAAAACAAGATAGTATTGCTTAAATGAGCTGAATATTATTGAGTATCGAGTAACGATTCATTCAGAAACTACAATACTCAACTAATAGTTGATAGTTCAGTCTTTGGTAAGACTATCAAAGTAAGATGATCTCAGTAACACATGTCACTAATTTTGAATCATAGGCATGTTACAACAAAATTGTATCTAGAAAAACAATGGTGTTGAATTATGGTGCATCTGTCTACAGAATAAAAACCATCATTTATCAGAAGTTATAAAACATAAATTTTCATATTTTTTAGAGTTATAATCTAGTTGTCACCAATAGACACTGAGAAATGTGAATGCATTGTGCTAATTCGAAAATAAGTATTCGACAATTTACCAAGCTTTTATTATTCAATACATATAACACAGACCTGTAGTTCACCAACGTGGATGGTCTGTCTCTGATGATTTGGTGTCTTCTCTATTTAGATTTGATAGGCGTCGAATTCATACCTCGTATCTTGGTACTATGAGTCCTTTGGAGGTTATAGGGACAGAGGTAGACCAGTCCCGCAATGGCCATTTCACAGGGTGTAATTATATGGTGCACTTTGTTTGTCCTTCACCTTGACATGGATCGGTAAATTTTTCGATATTTAATGACCGGACTATCGAGTGATTTGGCTAAGGCCTAGTGTCATTTCACTGACTCTTGAGATTATTACATGGACAGTGCATACTACTAAGTAATTTTATATTTTTAATTGTTTTGAATATAATAAAAACCTGTAGTGGTAAACATTCGATATAATTCCTGAACTTCGTATACTGCTCGTCCCAATAACCTTTACTAGACAACACCCAACGGTGTTCAAATCAGAAGACGAATATGAAGTGTTGATTCCGCTTATTATCGCACCACACATAGATCAGCAAAACTACAAACACACAAAGCAAGAATGATATGCGAGTGTCGACGAACAAGCAAGCGAGTAATTCCATGATTATCATTATTATAAGTAGGACAATGAATGTGTCGTCGAATCGTCCAAGCAACCAACACAAGGTTGGCAGAATGAACATGTGCGTAGGCGGTATGCAATGCTCAACCACCGACACAGTCCAACAACTATCGACAATCAATAATAATAATAAGGATAGGAGAATGTATAACTAATTTAACACCTGTCAGACTGTCTACAAGTGTGACTAAGCAGAAAACCGATCACCATCATCCTTGCCTACACAGTAAGATCCAATTCAAATGTTTTGTTTGTGAAAATCCCTCCATGTATTCACTTTCAGTTCGTTCCTGTTGATTCCTTTGGTTGTATATTTTGTTAGTCTATTTGATTGTATTTGAGTTGGTAATATTTGCATTTTATTAAAGTTTTTATTTTTCTTACTCCTTCACTGAGTTTCGATGTTTCTTCGTGATCTGCATTTATGTTGATCTACTTGATACTTAGTCCTGGCGGAGGCCATATTGGTTTGTTCTTCCTTTTGATTGTGTTGCTTGTATTGACTGCAATAACATTTATTCGTTGCGATTGTTAATTTTCTCGCATCCTTTGTCAACCTCCTAAATTATTGAAGTTTAGATTTGACCAATTGAAAAATTATTTGTTGGATAGCTGGGTGGTCATATTTCTTTGAGTAGCAATGAACATCTACATTTATGATGAATTTTGGAACCGTCATTTTACCCAACCATTTTGTTTTGGTTTCAACTGGGTAAGGGAGCGTATCTAACCCACCTAGACAGCTATTCTTCAGTCCAAACATTAGTTTGGATCTTACACACATCGTATGGCTTCACATCTCTTTTGATTCCGTTCTATTGATAACTTTCGGCTGGCTTCTGATTTCAGCTCATTTTTTCACATTTCAACTTGCGGTGGTGGTAGTGGCTAATCAAATGTACCATATAATATTTCCATTAGCAAATGTTCAGCCTGAGGTATGTCACTAACATTTTCTCTATCTAACAGTTAGATTGTGTGTCTGATAATTAGTGTATTTTGAACCATTTTTTCATACACTACCATCCCACACCTTTTTTTATGCACCCAAATATACATGTCAGCCTTCCTGACCGGCGATTACATGCATAAACTAAGACTCGAATCTTTGGGCCAGTCTCTTTCTTATTCTAGGTAGTCCACTCTTTCTATTTTTCGGGTTAAAAACATCAAAAATGTCCTAATTGTTCGGCCAAACATTATTTCGGCTGGTCGTTTCCCGTCATGACATTTTGAACTGGGTGTATTACTGTACGAGATTAGGAACTGTTGCAGAGTCTCTTCTACTTTATTTCCACGTCCCAACTTTAAATGAGCTTGCTTAAGAACATCAACAAATTTCTTAGCTTGCCCATTTAACTAAGGGTGATACTGTGGAGTTCCAATATGTTCGATCCCATTTTGTTTGAAGAACTCCGGAAACTCTGGCGTTGTATGTTGCGTTCCGTTATTTGAAACCAAAACATTAGGTGTTCAAAACTTACCAAATAGGGGTCTAAAGTGTAACAGAGTTTCAGATATAGACGGTCTTCTCACAACATAGATTTCAGGCCATTTGAAGTAAAAATCTATCACCACCAAAATATATTGTCCGTGTATTGGTCCAGCATAATCGATGTGTACTCGAACCCAAGGCTTGTTCATTTCCGTTCATGTCTGGGATTCTACTTTCGGTGGATTGTTCACATCTTCGGCACATCGACAACAGCTCAATTCGTGTTCACTCACAGTCTTATCCATGAATGACCAATAGACATAACTACGCATAATGGCCATCATTATGTTCATTCCCGGATGACCAATATGAAACGTTTTAAGCGCAAACAACTGAAGATATTCAGGTGCGAAAACACGATTGCCATAATTCAAACGATCATCATAAATCTATACAGACTCACGACTCGGAAATAACTGGTGGAACTCACAATCAAACTTATCCTGTTCCCGGCCATAATAACATTTACTATTATTCCATTGAGTAGAGGATCATTAGCCGTTGTTACGTATTTGGTTCATTTTTATGAACAATGAAAAGTAATTCCAGATATATTAGACTTATTCTTCGCTAGAGCTCGTAGTGACCTAGATTGGTGAAGAGAACGCGACTGATATAATTGAAACAATTATTATTGTAACCTACTGTACCAGTGGTTGTTTCACTATACTTGTTTGCTTAAGTGTAACAAAAAACACACCCTTGCGTTGTTTGGGACCTTGAACGAACTCTCGTACACTCAGTGGTCTCGCTTGTCGCTTTTGGAACGATCTCGGTTTTATTTCGACACCATGAGATCGCCAACAAATACGTCCTAACTAAAACCTTCAAGTGCCTTCTGATATTTGGCCTGCGGAGGGGTCTGATCTGGTAACTGGCACGTAATCTATCTGTAGTGGTGATTATAGTCATCCGCAGCTGGACGCCAGCTACCAAGTATTCTCAACATATGAATCTGTAAACATACACTGCAATGGATCTCAGTCACAATCGTACACTTCAATACACACATAGAACACTATTCGACACTATGAGAGGTAATCGTCCGTCTTTTGTGTGCTGTGCTCATGGTTTCGGTTTTACATATCGACACTTCATCGTGAGAACGAGATATCAATTGGATGGACTCAAGTAGATTGTCAGAGCAGGTTCAGGTTTCATAAACAACCCAGATGATTTCTCAAATCAGGGGAAGTGGTTTTTGGCATTGTTCGGCAAACAGAACTTGGGTGAATCTTATGGTGGTGCAAGAACACTTAAGTGGTGGGCATGAATAGATCATCAAATGAATGACCTCTACAGAGGTCTAATTTGCGTTCCCAAATATCTGAATTTCCAGTGTCCATTAATTTCCACTGGGTCTACGGCATGATGGAACAGCTATTTCGTAAGATTTACCCACGTCCGAACATCATCCAATTAAGAGACTCAAAACATTTCTGGCTTACGAAATGTCACGAATAGAAAAATACTGTGAGTATCCATTTCCAAATCATATAAACGCGTATCTGAATTGCATTCAGACAACCCTACTTGTCGATGACTAGCCGAATTTGCGAGGGTTTGAAACAGAAAATTCACTTAAGTTCCGTTTTAATCATGCCAATGTAGTATAGTCTAGTTTCTGAGTGTTTATTATGAACCACTAAAATCTTTTCAATACATGATCATGACCATTGCAGAGATCCGAAGCATCGAGTCAAGCGGATTAAGACAAAAAAACTCACTACATAGTAATCCTTTTTCCTATGTTTACTCAATCAACGTGAACAATATTACTTTATCTTTAAATGTTCTTATCCTTCAACAGTTGCTAGATGCGCTACATTAAGTGTACGCGGTCACTACGACGGATTAGAATGAAGTGTCGATTGACGTTCTTGAATTTACTTCATTTATGTAAGTAATACAAATAACTTATAACACAACTTCGCGCAGTAATATTCGTGCAATGTGAACTGTTTTGGAATTTCCCACGTAATTCAAGGGAAGTTTTTCACGCCTATGTGAATGAAAAAGCACATACTATACAAGTATTTCCGTCAATTCAAGTAAAACTAATCAATGGTACGTTTACACACAAACTTTAAGCTTTAATATTTATTCCTGCATCAAGATTTTCAATCGACGTTTCGGAAGTTAAACAAATTTTCATTTAACGCTAGCATTTATTTATTTTTAAATAATGGGGTACTAAGTATTCGTTTGACTTAGCTATTAGTAGTTTCCGAAGTGTCTTTTATCGAATTTCGGATGTTATGACATCATGTTGAAATTACATAGATAGCTACAAGCTTGAATTAAAGAAAGATATGGTTAGAAGACATATTGAATGCATCCGTTGCTTCATATTTTAAGCTGTCTTCCAACTGTTAGACTGGATGTGTCAAAAGTCTGAAGGTATGTTATTCACTTCAACAAAATATTAAAATATCCTTAGATGATCATTAAGAAGCACTGTAAAATATGCACATCCATCAACGTTGAAATAAATGCGAAAAAGTAGAAAAGTAGAAAAAAACTACCAATAATTTCCGCTTTGAATACATAAATCTGTCTTGTTGAATACCAACCTTTAACGAATACATATGTGCTCTTTTTGTTTATCCTATCGCCTTCTCACCTTATAAATTTCACTCTTTGCACTGACTGAAAACCCAACATTTTCAACTCTTGTGCTTTTTTCTTTGGTCTGTTTTCGATTTTCATTTATTTATGGATAAGTAGCGCAAGTTGGTTGCTGATGGATTCAAGGCTAAGAATATTTTCTGCAGTGTTAGAAAAGCGACTAGTCAAGTAAAATTTATCAATGAAACTAGCTTATTTTACAGCATGTCATAGCCATAAAGTATTATCCCAAATGTCTCATCGCATGGAATATTTAGAAATGGTAACTCGTCTGTTCACCAGAATCAAACTTATAGTAAACTTTGGAATTTTGGCTCACGAAGATATTTAGGCTGAAAAAGGTAAATATACTACATTTTGTCTCAGTAGAGCGCAAACGTTGAAATATCTTTGAGTTGTGCAGAAATTAGTCAGAAATCTGATAAAAAGATGCAGTTGTTCAACTTGTGGTGATTTTATTTATTCGTTTGGCATCAGCGTAAACTAACCAATGTTAAAATCCCTGAGTAATTTAGTGGTCACTTAATTAGCGATGGGGTTTTCATTACAAATTTCTTTATTTCTCAATCAGTTCTTCATATTATCACAGACCTAGTCAATGCAAAAAGCATCTGAAATTCCTTCGTTCATATGTAGAAAAAAAAGTCTTATGGCTTTTAAAATATGAGTAAAAGACTGGTAACTTCAAATACCGAATGTTCAAATTTAACATGACTACATACTTTTTGAACTCATCTTTTATCAATTAATCTCCTAAACTCACAGCAATGCATCTTTGTGTAATTCCAGAATTACATCAGGAAGCACGATCTCATGGTGACAGGTTGTTATGTGCAAATTAATGAGTAAAACCTGCGCAATTTGATTTTGAGCCGCATATAAGATGACCAAACGGTGCTTGTTTTTCTTACCTGCGCTTTTTTCTATTAAATCCGTACGTTTAAGCGCAGTATCGCTAACTGTGAACAGTATAAATAATTATGTTGTCATTATTTTTATCGCCGATTGCCGTTAGCTTGTTAACTATTGAAAGTCAGTGGGCAATGAACAACTTTTTTCACCTACCTCTTGACTTCGGGAACATCCTGTCAGTACCCCTCCGAAACGGAACCTTTGGGTCTTTCAGTCACATGGCATTAAGGAACATATATATTTAATAATGGCTATTTTTGGATTTTGAGTAACCTTTAAAAATAATGCATCTAAAACATATTATTATATCTTAACTAATCGAACCTCATCTCTGCTTGGTTTTTCCTTGATAACCTCTGATATTTGACACTTAGAAATTTGTATTTTTAAACATAAGACTCAGTTCAGTCATACATAGTTCTATTACATCATCATTCATTTGTTTTAAACAACTGTGCATAGCTGTAAAACTCTAATCACTTACTTTTAAATAATGACTGAATCCATAACCTCATCACTGTTTGGATTACAAAAATAACCTAGAAGATATCAATGTAGTCCAGAGTTTATGAGAACATATTGTTTTTGCATTTTTATAAGGCATTTAAACGCGATTTCAAGCATTGAAATATGATATTATTTAACTTCTGACTCAAGATATTGAATACTTTCTTCATCAGATAGGTAAATGCTATAAAATATGGTAGACTGAATAAATGTCTCTTCCTACTTTGATACTTATAGCCTTATTGGACGTAAATGCCAACATACGGATAGAACTGAGCTAAGAAATTGATGAAACAAATCGATGGCTGTTCAGTTCTACAGTGGGATTTCCTATTAGCACATCCAGTGCTATCCTATCATTGAAAGTAGATGTAATCTCCAAACCACTCACAGTACGTGTTACTTCTGGAATACTTAATCAGTATCTTATGGTCCACATTCCCGATCTCATTTGGATCTATAGAATGATAATTATCCAACACTTCATTATTGGAAATTTGAAACCTCTTACTGCAAATTACCCTTCAGTCATATTCTTTATCCTCAGTCTTTCTGATTATCTCTAATACTGCTGTTATTATGACTCGTTTTGTAATTTGATGTCTCTGTTTCAACGAGGTGTGGCAACTTAAACTAGTTCATGTCATTCTCAAGTCCAACATCGGTTATGACTGACTAACTCTTAATTATTTACCACATGAATTATCATGTGACCTTCAACGTACATGAAGTAAAGCCGAACAAAATACCACAAGTCTATTCACTACGCATATTTTCTTCTGAATTCTTGTCTTCTAATTTTTGTTTTTTCTCCAATTTTTTTTAGCTACAGAGGTACCTTAATCTTCCGTAGATATCTTTTTTTCCTTGATTATTGTAACAAGTAGTTAGTAACTTTGAGGCGATATAGCTAACAATCCATTTTTTGCATTTGTTATCTGAATTTTCTCATTAATGTTTAGGACTGCAATTGAACAGTCTCTTATTGACATATGGGCATCCTGTACGGGTTGCCTCGATATTGTTTAAATCACATGCAGTAGAATCGAGGATATACGTTTGTTCCGATTTGGGACCGGTCATCTGGGTGTACCTATATCCCACAGCAGATGTTTACTCAGGGACTCCACTACAGTATTGTTAGCTTCAAACGCCATGACGTTATTCACTTAGCTACTGAGTCCAGACCCCGTTGCTTAAGCTAGTGGCTATCTGAACTCAGTAACTAAGTGAATAACGTTATGATGTTTGAAGTGAACGGTACTGGGTTTGATTTTCCGAGTGAACATCAACTGTGAGATATAGGTACATCCAGGTGTCCATTCCCAAAGAGGAATAAACTTGCGTCCTCGATTCTACTGCTAGTCACCATCATCTTTGCTTATAATAGTCCACAGTTATTCTCAATGACATAAGTGCATTCACTCTATGTCATTTTCTAAAACCTGAGTTCCAAAATCTCCTTCTACCTTTCTTCCTATTTGTATGCTTAATCTTTTCTATGGCTACTGATATCATTACTACTTCTACTACGTGGTTTGTTTAGAAATAATTTTATCTCACTGTTGTAATGGGATGTACCAACTTGTACATAAGTCGGGTTCTGCGAATCAAATGACTGACTAACCAATTTTCTTTATTTATGTTGCTACAAATAACAGGACAATGAAAATATACTCTTCTATAAAGTATTTTAGATTTCTAAATGCACTCCCTTATATAAAATTCCTCTTTACTAAAAATCGGAAGGATATACGCACCACAGTACAGGTTAATATTATTTCTTTAAAACGTTTTCATAAAGATTTACACAAATGGTAAAAGCAATAAGGTTTTGAACACATTAAAAGCGAAATAAACTAACTTCTTGTTATCTACATATATTGACCTGTAGATTATTTGATAGTTATAACTTTGGTTTATACTAATTCCATCTCTACGCAAAATATTGTGTACTCAGATTCAGTCAATATTTTTTATCTATTAAGTAGCACTATGACACAAATACTTGCATTGAATTAGTTGTAGTGGGGTCTGAATCTGTGATTAGTTAGTTGGAAATTTTGACTGTCTTCTTTTATTACTCAATGTTTTATCACAATTTAATATGAAAAACTATAACCAGCATCATTTTGTAAATTCGAAGAACGAATATGTGAATTGTGTTAACAATTTTATTATTTTTACAATAAATAGATTCGAAACTATGTTCCATCTCATTACTGTCATCTGGCAGAAATAGTGTTCCTAACTTTATTCATAGTAATGTTTTGAATCAAGAGAAAGGATATGGTTATTTAACTTTCAATGAAACATTATATCGTCATGCTAAACATTTTGGTAGTTTAGAAGCTAGAACAGGATTTTATCATTTGAGAATAATAGCTGAAGACTGTTCTGATCCACCAAAGTCGACAAAATCTTGGCCAATCACATTTGAAGTAAGTAGTTCTTTAGGTGTAATTTTATAAATGCTCATGAATGTATTTTCAAATTCACCATTGTATAGCTTTGTGCATGAATAAAATTCATGAAAAGTTGCGTAAGCCAAATAGTGCTGTTTTCAATCGAATCTTTTTCAAGGTTTACTCGGGTATATATTATAAGTGTTTATCTATGTTCATATATTTAACTGGGGATAATGATTATTGAGTTAACGATATGAACTACAGAGATCCTACAAGTACCCACAACTGTAGCAGAATAGTAAATCGATAGAGGTAAAAATGTAATAATGTAGGGAGCATGTGGATACAAAAATATTTCAGTATGTGCAACTATTTCAAACTTGTTAAAAACCAATTTAATGTTACGTAATGGTAACATGTGGAGTATAAATACGAAAAGACTTTGTTCAAGTTTGACTACATGATGTGAATCAAGCATTTTTTATAAGCAGACATGAATGATGACTCGCGGTGGAATCCAGGATGCAGGTTTCGTCCTACTTGGGACACGTTAGCTGGATTTATCTGCATTTTAGATTGAGCATTAACTGTGAGATGCAGGTACATCCAGATGACTCGTCCCAAATAGGAATAAACGCACATCCTGGATTCTAATGCAAACCACCATTCATCTCTGCATATAATGCTAGTGAGTCAAGACAATATCAAGGCAGTCCGTACAGAATGCCCATATGTCAATAAGAGACTGGTCAATTGCAGTCCTAAACATCAATTTGAAGATTCATATAATCAATACAAAATGAAATAAACATTGTTTTGGTAAAGTGTATTATAAATAGCATCAAAATCCTGTTCAACTTACAACTAGTTAGTAGTATGTTGTTTGATATATGCTTTTTTTCTGGTAGCTTTATAAATCTACATACGCTCATATGGTACATGAGCTTGAATATAATAACTATTCATAATTATTCACTCTCTCTAAAGCTTCGATTGTATGAAGACATACTTACAGTATATGTGAGTTTTAAAGTTTCTATATGTTAAATAACCTGCCTTAGGTAACGCATGAAATGAAGATTGTTCTACAACAGAAAAAGACTTAAGTCGAGAGTGTGAATCACTGGATTGTGACCATAGAGACGGGAAAATTCTTATGTTTTGGATTTGATGTTGTGTGCAATCGTGTTAATGAATTTGTTCCGAGGTTTAATTTAAAAAAAAAAACAACTGTCTTGCTAGGTTTTTGGACTGACAGAATCTATTTAACAGTATATTGATATATATTCAGTAGCTAAATCTTACTTTCTAAACAATTTATTCACATATCTTTGATAGTCTCTTACACATTATTAATGATGTTTGATTCGATAATCTTATATAAATTGAGCAATAAGAGGATTGTTTATAACACGATAACAATATATTTGTAATATTTTAATGAATGAAAACTGAATTTCGAACTCTTTGAGACTTAGGGTAACTCATTTTTACGAAGAATAAGTAAGCTATCCAAATTAACAGAATTTTAGACATTGCAGAAGGACAAGTCAAAATGTTTAATACTATCGTATATATTGAACAATGTTTCCATTGTTACTGTGAACAACATCATTAGCACAAACATTAGGTAGAAGTGAGCCATTCGAGCTACTCCACTTATGACTGATAGCTTGTGTTGTCGACCTTGATTCTTATTGGTTACTATCGATGTACCTATTCAGCAGAACAGTGGAAGCTTTACAGCTAAACCGAAAATCGTCGACGTAAGCCTCAAATTCTATCCATTATCTAGAAAAATAGTGTATTTGCAATGTAAAAGAGTAGAGCTAATTTGTGTGTGTAATTGTGTGCGGTTTAAACAGGTTGGGTGTGTTTACTTAGAAAACTGATTTGAATTGGTTGAATAGTTAAACCTTCCTTTTTATTGATCACAATCCTGTTTAGCAACATATCAAAAGCTTTAGTCACTCGCTTTCATTTTTGGCTGGAACAACTTTTATGAATTTTTTGATATCGTCAGTATCAATTTGATGGATCCTGGGAATACCATATACTGCTGCTACTGATTTATAACTCATAGATTTTTAAGTCTCGTAGGATTGTTTGTAGGTTCTTTTTATAAAGTTTAGATGTTTCTTAAGACGAGTTATGATTTCTTGAGAAAACTCCACAACATCTAGGACAACACTATCGATACAATTCAGTGCACGAATGAGGGTATCTTTTCCATAAATACATATATTTCCTATAATTTACTGTTTACATTTTAGCATATTCAATCTGATTTACCAATTTGGTCTAAAACAAAATATGCATTTGAAATAGATTCATTACATAGACCAGGTCATGAAGTTGGCAAAGTGACAGCATACACATCAGCTATAAATATGACAGAAAATGATAATTTTTTATACGGTGATAATACTGGTATGTGCGCCTATACAATACAAGATCCAAGTTATTCATTTGCGATTGATGGGCACGGTAAGTGTACATTGAGTTATTTCAAATGAAATGTTTTCTGTTTTGTTTAATAATTACTATTTCTATGACATACCTCAATTAAGTTACTGAAATAAAGTTGATTTTATTCCACGAAACGTGGCAATTAATAACATTTGGTAAATCCAATATAATTCTTGCCGGTTGAATGCATTATCGATTTTGTAGTATTTCATAAGATGATGTCTTCGGTTAAACTAAGCAGTGTAGACAAGTTCAGACCACTTTATTGGGGTCTGTGTGATTATCATTATCAAAGGATAGAGATTCTTGATGAAATAAGTTTGAATTATTAATGATTACCCAGGTGCATTTACTTTTCATTTTAAAATGCTTATACTTTTTGCTCCGCAAATAGGATCTTCCAGATTCACATTCAATATGTTTAAGGTTTTTTTTACCATCACTGATATTAATACTTCGGTTTTCATCTTTATAACTCAATGTCACTGAGCTCATAAGTTGTAACAGATTGAATCGATAGACACATGTATACCATGTTCTTATTTGTATACGACTATAATTATCGTCAATCAATTCATTTCTGTAAAATATATTTGTTTCATTTGTTTGAATAATAATTTGTTTCTATACTGGGTTGAATCATTCTTTTCGTCTATTTTTCAGCGTGACTATAATTTATGAACGAATCATTCAGGTGTAAGGTAACAGATCTCGGATTTTAGCGCGAAATTTATTCATTCTTTTGCCTAAATAGAGTTTTGCCATTATAGCTTATGTCAGTTCGTGATGAAAACACTAAATTTTATTTCTAACCTTAATAATCAACTGTAAATCATAATTCTAATTCCTCACACAGTTTCATAGTCCTCATTTGGTCATAGGTATTAGGTGGACACTCTCAAGGTCAATCTAACTTCTAGAAAAAACCAGACTGGATTTCGACCTGTACGTGGTTGTATAAACGAGGTATT